GCGCGCGCGGCTCGGCTGTGAGGGGCGGCGGCGGCGCCTCCCGCTGTGCGCGCCGCGAAAACGCTCTTTAAAACCGATGAGACCCTCGGGTAGGCTCCTTGGACAACGAAAGGGTTGCAAGTTTGCAACGAAAAAGTGCACGTTGTTCCTTTGGATTTGATGGGAGTAATCCTGCCCGAGAATGGATATTCTCAGTCGGAATCGAAGTATCTTTACTTTGATATGGTTTATTGCAAAAACAATATCAAGTTATGGTAATCTAAATTCAGTGTGAGAGTGTTCAAAATGAGGGATTTTGCATGGCTTAACTAGCTTACTTGGAATTCATATTTTTAGTTAAAGTGAATACAGAATTAAGTTTTCCAGCTAGATACACATCTGCAGTCTGAGATTAATGATACTTCTACTCACAACTAAATATCTTCGTCCTCTTTCATTTACTACTGCTTAGCATGGAATGGTGCTACATTTTTTCCCTAGAAGCAGTGTAAGGGAAGTAAGACTCCACGGTCTGTAACGCGATGAACGAGGCGGTGCCGGGGGAAGATGAGGGCAGGCGTTTCCTTTGCCGCAGGCTGGTGCAGCCGGGGGCTCCTGCGGGAGAGGAGCTTCAACACGGCCAGGCTGCTGGTCCGACCCAGTTCCTAAACTCGGAGGTGGGGGACGCTGCTGGGACGGGAAGGTGTAAGGCGAAACAACAAAAAAAGCCACCATTTTCTCACCATGAGGAATACAATGGAAATTCTGCGATTATTAAGTTGATGGAAATTGTGCCACCAAGCTTACCAAAAAACAGAATTTCCCCTCAAAAAGAGTCTTAATTAAGGACAAGTGTTGATCCCCTTGATGCTCCTGAGGTCAGAGCTACACAAATAAAAAGTTAAATGGAAAATGTGATAAGGCAGGAACTGCAAATAATACACGGGACATAAGTTAAACCAAGTATTAGTATGTATTTATGCACAAGAATAAAAACAGCTTTACAAGTTGAATTGGAAATTTAAACAGAGGAAGTTTAACAGCTTTTGTATATTATATTAAATAACCAAAACACCTTTTTCCAAAATTGGTAAAGAATAAATAATATAATTTACAATATGGTACAAAAAATAATCAGTAAGGACAGGCATTCTGCTTTATACATACACTATATAGGTATATTTATAATCTATAAAACAAATTCACATCTCAAACAAGCCAGAAACCTCAGATGATATGGCTTAACTATTATTAAGAGAAACAGCATTAAACTTTGCTGCCAGAACCATAAGCTCTAAAGCAGTTATCATGTTTCAGTAATTAATGATAACTTATTGCCGTAGTGCTTGCCAAGGTTTCACTTAGTTAACATTTACAAATTGCTGTGAAATTAAGAGATTCAAAGGTTTGAAAAGGTTAAAAAAAGTGCAGTACTTTCCTTATAAATGCATCCGAAGTCCGAGTGTACAAAATAAAATGCAACTTAAATTTCCACTCCGGCATCCATGGAGTCAGTAGATTAAACTCTTTAGATTCGATCCAAGCTATTTAACTGAATTTAGAAATATAAAGAAGGGTGTCAAGAAAAGGCAAAACGATGCCACATTAAAAACAATATTCCTATGCTTAGTAGATTTAGCGATAAGGGATAAAACGAACTGTGCGCTTCATCGGGATGCAACCCGCAGCAGACAACCAACCCAGCGCGCACGACCGCAGCGGCAGATCCAACCCGCAGCACCGGGCACTGCTTTTCACCCACACCACGATCACGACGACCACCAACTTTTCTGCCTTTCTCCACAGGGAGCTCCTCAGAACTTCCTTATCACAGACATGGTCACTAAACCAGCACAGGGCAAGCCTACCAGAGGCTTCAAAATAAACCCAGTAAAACCTAAAACCAGGAACAAGTCTTAGAGCAACGAACATCAGAAGTGCAGACCAGGTTGTTAGTGTCCATTTGTCCTCTCCAACTGCTTTTCAGTGCCTCAGGCAGCTCTGAAGATAAAGTTTTATTTTCCTTAGACACAATCCTGCCTGCATTTCAGTATCAACTTGCTTGGTAGGTATCTGCTTGGGATAAGCTGATGTGACTACAGAAGTGGATCTTGTTATTTCAGATACTGAAACTGAAATTATTATTATTATTATTTTTAAGTTTTACACTTTATTAAAAAAGGCAAAACCAAAAAAAACCCAAACCCCTAAGATATTAATTTATCACTTGGCAGTCTTAGCCACATAGATGATGATGATGATGATGATGATGATGATGATGAAGTGAAGCACACCAACCTGCCATCTGCAAGTGGTGGAGTCAAAAGGGTTCTGAGGTGACTTTTCACATAATAAGGATAACAAACTCTGCATCAATTCAAAATTTTCACAATGATTTAAGTTGTTTTCAGTTTTTCCCTGATAAGAGTGACTTTTTCTGAATGGGCTTTGTTACTGAAATGCAGTTTGCCTTTTGTGTTTCTGAAATCAGAAGCCAAATAGAGGAAGGCTGCAAGGCTGGAGAGACAGGAGGCTGATAAGAGAATTCAGTGAAAGAAACAAGAAACGCATTTTCAAAATCTGTTTTATAATAAGAATTTTTAAGAAACTGATGCTAAACACAATTTTAATCACAAAGTTTTGAGTGCTGAACGAGTCCCGTGGTCGTTTCCACTTTTAACCTCGTGCAAGTCCCCTTGCCAAGGTTCGGGGTATTAAAATCTCCTGATCTCATGGGCATCACTAAAAATAGCCGCTCTAGTGCCACCCGCTCTACAGCACCCTCGGTCCCCGGCAGCGGGGCGGCCGCTCAGCTCCCCGTATCGCACGGCAGAAACTCCCCCGTGTCCGGGTGAAGCGTCCGGCCACGCAGCAGCGCCTGTGCCGGAGCACCCGGGCTCCGGGGCCGCAGGACGGCCACCCGGCTGCCAGCCTGGGCAGAGGATGGCAATGTTTGCTGGGGCATGGAACACACCGCAGAGCATGAGCCTCATCTTTCTTAAGAAAACCAGTTCAGACTTTTTGTCAGTACTTGATTAGAGTATATGACATCTCCTCCTGCATGTCCTGTACTCCATGGCCACAGCGACAGCCAGGTCCTCTCTGTGTGTCCTGAAAGCTGGAAGAATTTGGGAGGTACAGTACACAGGATAAACAGCATTGCGAAGGGCAGTAGCCAAAACCAAGAGGAATCACTCTGGGAAAGGCCGAACCAAAACAGATCGCAGCTCTAAGAAAAACCTGAAAGTTTTGACTTGTCATACCAAGCACGAACTATAAAAATGATACACTTAATACTCATCTCCTGACAGCCTTCAAGTTCTTTTCTTCTAGGTTTACATGATCTCCTGAAAACTGCAACACGGCTCAACAAGGATAACAGCGAAATAATGAGAGAAGAACTGAAGACCCCCATGACATGCAGCAGGAACAGAAAGCTAACCCATAGGAATGACAATTCTCCTTTCTGTTACAGACTGTTTTCTTGCTAGTGATACAGGCTTGATTCTGAACAGAGTAACCTTGCAGGGGGTCCTTACAGAACGAATCCCAGGAATGTCTTCCAAATCCCACTACCTGCACAGTGAAGCCAATAAACTCTGGAGTGCAGAAAAGAAGCATCAGAAAAGCATAACGTTTTCCCCTAATGAGAGAGGGTGCAAGACAAGCTATATAGCCGTAAAAAACAAAATCTACGCAAGCAGGGTAAAGTGACTGGGAAATGAGCGAGCCCAGTCAGTGCACTGGGAGCAAGGTTACACGAAACTCCCAGTCAAAAGCTTTGTAAAGTAGCTAAAGGCAGGTAGAACTACATCCACCGAGTATAGTGCAAGTCGGGAAAACGAACCCCTGATAACAGCCTAAGAGACGGAGAACTTGTGGTTATTTGTTAACAAACAGCTCTTATAGAAAGTTGAGGTTTATACAGGACTAGCCCCTTGGCTAGGTTCAGAGCTACCTAAACAGCCCAGGGACATCCTCTTACTGGAGAAGCAGAGCAGTGCTTAGAAAAGGGGCACAGCAGAAATATCCTCTCTCAAGATCGGTAGGAAAGGAAATAGGAAAAGGCTCCTGAGTTATAAAGACAGAAACAAAAGAAAATCAGCCATAGAGAAAGTAACTTTAGACTCCTTTGTCTCTGCTGAAATCGAGATCTGGGTCTTTAGGTATTAAAACACTACCATTAAATGTATAGGGATTTCCCAGAGGGGGTGCCAGATCCATCAGTGCCCAGAAGTGACTACAATGAGAAATGATGCCCTGAGGTACAACAGAGCACCTGGAATTAGCGGGAGAGGGAAGAAACAAGGAGGGACTAGGGGATTAAGCCTTTTTTTTTTTTAATGACACAAGACAGGCTTCAACAATTTTAGCGTTAAAATAATATTTGTATCTATACATTACAATATTCTTTCCTATTTCCTCTTCCAGGAGATACTGCATCTCGCATTTTTGTGGAGAAAGATGGCAATATATACAGGTTGTTTCCAGCAAAGCCAAGACAAATTACGACCAAGCTTTCCTAGCAGTTCCTGTAAGAGCTCTTCTGCAGTGCTTCCTAATGGAAAAAGCAAACATCCCTCAGGGAAAGCAGGAAAACACTCCCCCACCAGTGGGAAAACAGTGAAATGTGATGATGAGTCTCCCTTACAGACGGCGAGGATGAGTGCAGCCAGGAGAGTGAGGATCGTGACATGAGGTGGGGCTCGGAACGAGAGGAAGCTGCCCAGGGTTTCATGCAAGCTGGGGGTAGGGTGAATCAGAGCTCCCCGCAAGCCAAGGGAGCAGGTACGTGTCCCTGCAGGAATGCTCAAAGAACAAGACGTGGCCAAGAAAAGGAAGGGTGCATAAACATGGAGCATGGCAGAGTCACAGCGCCTTTGAAGAGAGTGCAAGAAAACCTCACTTTGACTGATTCATCAAACCGGTGCCAACTGGGGCGTTTCTAGATGAAAAACACCTTCCGTACCCAACCCCCACCCCTCACCCTCCACAACTTCAATGTGAATCCCAAATCACGGTGCCTGGATTGCTGCGCAAAATGCAATTCCTGTAGTGGAGCTTCTGGCAAGACCCTTTCTTGCTTGAGCCACTTCTTCCTTGGCCATTGCACAGTACAAGCCCAGCACCGTCCCCTAAACCCACCACCTCACATCACTGATGCAGGGGACACCATTTCCTATCCCACTATTCCCTGTTTCGTTGTTCCCAGCATATTGCACATCCCAGGACTTGCAAGTACTTATCAGACCCTGAAGACGATGCTGCTCTTTCAGAAGGAGCCTTCGCTGCTTCCCCCCCTCCGCCCTGGCTCTGCTCCAGCGCCCGGGCTCCAGCGCAGCCGCGGGGGCTCCGCGGGCGGCCGCTCTCCCGCGCTCACTGCGAGAGGTCGCCGATGGGGGGGCCGCTGCCGGCGCTGCCGTCGAACAGAACCTCCCTGCGGGGCGGCTCGGGGATGGACAGCTCCTGGGCAAGGTCATTGAAACGGGAGATGTAGTCTATGCTGTTCTCATTCATCATGCAAGCCAGCTGGGAATCCACCACCTGGAACAGAGGTGAGAGGAAAGAGCAGCCGCGCGTCAGTGCAGATTCACGTTGCTTTAGCTGACAGAGAGAAGGGCTTCTATCTATGGCCTAATGGGAGCCCCCCTGAAGACACTAGGAGTCTGATCGGGCCTCATCCACACATCACTGCAACTATTCCCTAATTTGGGACTGCCTCTTATGTACGAAACTGTGTTTGAAAAATCTCATCAATGTGTCCAAATACCTGAAGAGAGGATGTAAAGAGGATGAGGCCAAACTCCTCTCAGTGGTGGCCAGTGACAGAACAAGAGGTAATGGGTACAAACTAAAACACAGGAAGTTCCATCTCCATGTGAGGGTGACAGAGCCCTGGCACAGGCTGCCCAGAGAGGCTGTGGAGGCTCCTTCTCTGGAGATCTTCAAACCCACCTGGATGCCACCCTGTGACCCGTGCTTTGGGTGTCCCTGCTGGAGCAGGGGGTGGGACTAGATGATCTCCAGAGGTTCCTTCCAACCTCAACCATTCTGTGACTCT